CGCTGATGCAATTCAAGCCTAGCAGCCAGAGTTACATGAATATCTTTAGTACGCTGTGCTCGAAAACGTATTACCAGTTGTCTATTGGGCGATGAGATTTGATTGATTGCCAACATTAGCTACCGTGACACTTCGCAGCCTTAGTTTGCCTGTTTCAAGTGTAAATGTAGAGGGCATTTTCTACGCTGAGAGTGATAAGCAGAAAAGAGTGGGCACGTGTTAACAAAGAAAACCTCGGCAAATACATGCATGTGTATTATAAATAGGCATAAAGGAATTGTGACTTGATTGGAAGTGGAATGCACGGTTGCTGTGTGGACTCAATATCTCACTCGCTTGTACTTGTGCGTGCATGTATCTTCATTCTTGTTCCAGTTTGATAAATAAACATTCCATTTTTATACCTGTCATTTCATGTTAGCAGCAGAGTTACAACTAGAATACATAATCGCCGAAAAAAGACCAGAAGCGTGTGTAGCGGTATATATATATTCACTCATAAAAACCAAAAATATGCATTCAAAATAAAAACCGAAAAAAGTATGCCAAATGCAAAAATATAAAAACCGAAAACGCCGAACTTTAAATATAACATGCAAAAAAATAAAAATTAAACACAGAATAATAACAACGAAATGTAACATAAAAGAGAACACAAATGAAATACAAAGTATAAAAATAATACAAATGAGATAAAAAGAAATAACACATGCACCCAAGAAAAACTGCTAGCAAGGTGTATTGAAAAAATTGACCTCACAAGAACGACACAAGGGGTTTTCTACTACTAAGTATGGTATTAAAAAAAAGTAATATAACTAGGTCATGCCGAGATTGAAAAGGAGTAAAGTGTACGTCAGACTTTCAGAAGTCATGTGGGTTGTTTCACTTTCAAACGACTGACGTTCAAGCTTTGTTTGTTTTGCTTTTAATTCAATATTTTCAGTGCTGCCGTGATCACAAAAATGGCATTTTATGGGTGTTTTAGTAGTGAAGATGTTTCTCAGGCAGCTCATAGTTTCTTAAATACACCGAGCTTTATTTTGCCTCAGCATGTTGCACCTCTCCCGGTAGGACGCCCCTCGAAGTCTGTGGCACACACCCTCCTAGAAATTCAATGCCATCTGGTGGTTCAAGAAGCAGTTTCGCTTTGGACAAACTAATGACTGTAGCGAAAAACTGCATTTCATCGCACACCGTCACCTTCGCACATCAATGGCGTATGCCGGATTAGTTCTTCAATCACCTCACAATTCTTTTTATGGCGAAGCTGTTTATGGCTGGGGTTCCGTGGATTTTTTGTGCGCGTAATGAAAAGCTCCACGCTCGCACCGTGGCATGCGCACGCTTTCCCTGTATAAAAAATTAGAAGTAAATAACCAAAATAAAGCATGGACGAACGCACGTGCAAGATGCAATTATTTTACAGGCTTTTTCTTTAGAACAGGTACTGCTGCAGACGCCAGCACGTGTCGCACGTGGAACACCATTCCCTGCATTCTTGATGCTTGGGTTTTAGCAATAGGCCTATTTCACTTCTCTCGCCGTAATGGGGAGGCCCATATAGTCAGACTCCCGAAGAGCAACGCGCCTACGAAGATTAACGGTGAGAACGGCACCGAGAATGTCAGCGGTGGCTGCAAATGGCAAACACCACCAATAAAGATTGTGCACAAAACGTCAATTGCGTGCGGCAAACCAGACAAGACGACGAACGTCGCAGGACAGAAAAAGCATCAAAAAGACGCAGGTAGCATACTGCTAAAATGGACAACTTTAATGGAGCATACGCTAAACTCTGTGTCACGTCTGCGTCGCGTGCTAAACAGCTTAGCTGGTCATTCATCTTCACAGAGTGGAATGGCTCAGGATTTTTTTGTTTGTTTCAGTTTTGATGGTACGAGCATAAAAGCTGACCAGCACGAAGCGGCGACCCATAAGCCCGTTTGACCAAATGTCCATCGTCAAAAGGCTTTAGAGGCAAACTTGTGCCAAGAAATTGATTGGACTGCACTCCGAAACAATCGCTTTAGCAGCCGTTGTATCCAATTCCTACATTGTGTTACCCGACATCTCGGATGTACAGGCTTCACGTATCCTCCGCTCAATGGTACCTTCAGCGTCTTCCTTCATCAGCCTCGAGAAGGCCGCCGTTAGTTTGGCGCAGATAACACACCCCTAGACGACGATATGGATCAAGACTGCCAGACTCAATATCGAAAAGGGTCCATACCGGCAAACCCGAAAGCTCGAAAAGTCTCGCAATTATGCTCGCCACGCTTAAGTCGTCATTATGCGCACTTTGTCGCGGTTGTCTTTCTGTTTGCGGAGTCAGGAAAAAGGGGCACAACCGCGTGTGCGGTTAGCATACCTCGGCAAACCTCACTCATGAGGGCCCTCACTCACCCTCACTCACCCTCATCTTCACACGTGAGGTGAGGGTGAGTGAGTTTCTGAACCAGGAAAATTCATGAGCGTGAGGGTGAGTGAGAGTGAGTGAGGGCTGTGAGGGCGGTGAGGGCTGTGAGGGCGGTGAGGGCGGTGAGGGCCGTGAGGGCGGTGAGGACTGTGAGGGCTGTGAGGGCTGTGAGGGCGGTGAGGGCTGTGAGGGCGGTGAGGGCCATGAATGCGGTGAGGGCCGTGAGGGCGGTGAGGGCCGTGAGGGCGGTGAGGGCCATGAGTGCCGTGAGGGCCATGAGTGCGTGAGGGTGGTGAGTGCGTGAGGCGCCCTTCAGATCGAGCATCTTTCTCAGCAATTTTGGTGTTAATGGCGGGTTGTTCTCTAGCTTTCCCTAGATCGACACGAATTGCTGAGATCGGGTCCGGCTCGAAATAAGCAAGCAACTCGGAGCAATTCGAATACGTTTGAAGCGGCTGCATCCAATCAGGGACGCAAAATTTTCACGTGATACCTGGTGACGGTGATGATGACACCCAAAGACTTGGTTCTGGTTTGAAATCGATCGTTTTTTTGGGAATAAACTGTTTCAGAAAGGTGCATCAGTATTCTTAACGAGATTTAAATGCATAAAAACACGTTTATAACGCGTAACTGTGTCTAAATAGTGCAAGAAAAATAAAATTTTATGATGACGATGGCAAATTGCAGCAATTGGTTGCTGCGTGTGATCACGGGCGGCCCGTGTTGCTGGTGTTGCGACGTAAAGTTTTTGGGCGAAATTGCCCCATCTGAAGCTGGCCTGAGTGGCGTGAGGGCCATGAGTGACGTGAGGGGCGTGAGGGGTGTGAGGGCCGCAAGGGCAGTGAGTGGCATGAGGGCGGTGAGTGACGTGAAAGCCGTGAGGGCGGTGAGGGCGGTGAGGGCGGTGAGTGGCGTGAGGGCTATGAGTGCGTGAGGGCCGTGAGGGCGGTGAGGGCGGTGAGTGGCGTGAGGGCTATGAGTGCGTGAGGGCCGTGAGGGCGGTGAGGGCCGTGAGGGCGGTGAGTGGCGTGAGGGCGGTGAGTGGCGTGAGGGCCATGAGTGAGTCAGGGGCGTGAGGGCCGTGAGCGCGGTGAGGGCCGTGAGTGCGTGAGGGCCGTGAGGTTCAGTGAGGGTGAGTGAAGGGCTGAAGGTGAGTGTGACTGTGAGGGTGAGGATGAGTGAGGGTGAGTGTAGCTGTGAGGGTGAGGGTGAGTGAGGGGCCTAGGTGAGTGTGGCTGTGAGGGTGAGGGTGAGTGAGGGCGACCTAAAATGCCGACCTCTGGCGGTTAGGCAGCCCAGCCAGTCGCAGCAGCAAGTACACGCATCGCGGCAGCATTTCAATGGATGCGCTCAACAGTGTAGATGCGCAGTGTGCACAGCCAACAAAGCTGGGCTTGAGGTACAACCCGGGCCTTGCAGATGTTTTATCCAGCGAAACATGCCTGGTCTGTAGTCTGCTTTCGGACAGTGAAAATGTGCGAGCGCTTAGGACAAGGAACCATCGAGTCGCTTTCTGTGCTGAGCGCCACCGATGCCAAAACCGCCCCAGATTCTTGTCTCCATCAGCGGAGGCAAGCAAAAATCCACACCTTCTACAGAGTAAGCACTGAATACAAAAAAATGTGCAATTTGAGCGCATTTTTTTTAGAAACGACTATTCAACGTTTGTTTAATTTAAAGCGTTTCGCTGTTCCCGTAAGCTTGGAATTCTCAGGAGTGGACTGTACTGAGTCACTGAATCCTTCCAGAGTACCGCAATCTATAGCATCCGCTTTGACTGTTTTATTGTAGCCTTCATCGGCCATTTGGCCCTGGAACATATACGGTGGAAAGGGTTTCAGGGATCCCAACCCCAGTTTCTCAAGTGGTCGTGCAGCGAATTACCTCTGGAGTTAGAACAAGCCCAGGTGAGGACGTGCTACCTGAAATCACCGGTGAGACAAAGTTGTATAAAAACAATATGAACAGTGCCACAAAAGCTTGTAAACTAAAGTTTTATGAAAACATCAAACTAATCTCCAATATAGTTCCTACAAAAATAGGTTTTTCTATTTGTTTTGACGCAAAAACATGCTTTCTAAATGCTCACAGTGACCACAGTAAAAAAAAAAAAGTCTAGTTGCCATTTTGGTATTATTAAGCCTGGGAGTTTCGGTACTCTGGGAACATTCAAAGACTCTAGACTGTACCAGTCATAACACACTGCCCACATTGGCATTATATCTCAGTGCAGACTAAATAATGATAGTCTTTTCTGTACAGCAGCACTCGTCGCAGCATCACGAAAATTACTCCCACCGTCTACACCAGAGACTCGTCATCAACACTCCGTACTCTTCCCTCAACTACTGTCTCTCAGGGCTATACACCTTTTTACCTTACGACATACCATAATGGATGCAACAAGCCATCTTAGCCAATCCAATGCTTCACGCGTGCCACGTGATTTTACCCTCCGTGCCACCCACCCAACCAAGTCGCGTGACACACTCCGAGTTACCGGCTCCAGTTGCTCGTGGTGTACCTTGGTGACACGTGGTGAGACAGAATGTCAGCCAAGAAAGGATCCAACACTCACCGACACGCCGTTGACGAGCAGTCCGGCCACATTGAGGGGGGAGAGGACGACCACCTCGGGGGTGAGGCTGCTCATGTGACTACCCACGCTGCTGGTGAGGGTGAGGCTACCCGAGGAACCATGGCTGCCCGTGGATAACCGGTGGGCCACCTGGGAGGGCGGAGGAGGAATGGCCGCCCAGGTGTTAGGGTTAGGGGCGGTCTAAACCACAAGTGCCCAAGCACGCGCCCACCTTAACTCACCAAAATTTTCCTAAATGGAGTACGACCCCCAGAAATGGCCCACTCCTATATGCAACCGAGAGGTTAGGACTGACGAAAAGCGTGAAAGAACTCGTGAACCTTTTGTTACATTACCCAAACATTAGGGGGCGTCGTGAAAATGTGGTTACACGTGCTGCATCTGCTAACACCTGCAGCAGTAGCTGCTCCGAAGCAAAAAAAATAAAACAGGTGGCACTTTGCATGTGGGCTTGTCAATGCCTTACTTTGATTATTTACTTTGCATCTTTCATACAGACAAGGCAAGCACATTAAGCCCCCATGTCCATTTATGCCCCCAACATTTTCCTTGGTGCGTGAGTAATTTGATAAAGGGACTATTGAACTTCTGCTGAACGCCATATCATCCCAAAAGATGGTCCCCCCCTAAAGATAGCCCCCCACTGCTTTCTGTCTCAATTTTATGTTGATAAACAAAAACATACACCACTTTTAGAAATAGCATCACCTGGGTTCAGGCAATCTCTGCTGGGGTGGGTGATACGAGTTTTGACACAAACAATGTGTCTGTTTCTTTGGCAACTTAGAAGGCAACTGAGTAAACAAGCTTGTTTCTTTGCCCTTCAAATATATGATGTCTAGAGCAGCTGATGTAGGCAAGGAACCAAATTGAGCATTTTGGTTTTCTCAGCTTTGACAATGTGTCCTTCAAACATTAGCTAACCCCTCTTTATTTGGCCTCTGCAGAAACAGGAGTGCAAGGTGGGACAACATTTTAGGATATTACGGTACAAAAGAGGACTGCAATAACTGGGAAAAGACCCTTTACTAAGGCAGTGTGACTCGATGAGAGCCCAAAGTCAGCCTCCCCTCGTTCCAGGGTGGAGAATGAAAATCAAGATGATTTAAATCGTAACTTGAATCACAACGGTCTCACTGTGATTTAAATCAAACCTTCCCCACAAAAATATTTCTATTTTTTTTTTAGTTTATCATTTGTTTATTAAAGAAAGAATAAAGATGGGCGGAAGCCGCTTCCACGAAGTCTTCAGATAGATAAGATCAAAGTGGAATCTGTTTCGATTTGCTGAAGTATTGCAGCAATAGAGCTTTTTCATTAACTGAAAGATCAAGTCACTTCTTTTCTAGTATGGCATAGTTTTCATCAAGAATAAAAAAAGTTCTGCTTTACACTGCTCCGTCATTGGGTAGATCGAAGAATCAATCTGCCAGCCATGTCCAAAACATTTAGCGAGAAAAAATAATCACTTTCTTAGATGGGGTGATTTAAATGATATAATTCTGATTTAAATCATATAAATCTGATTTAAATCAAATAAACCCAATATAAACCAAACAAAAATAATTTATATGATTTGTTTAAAAATTTTTTTTTTTATTTCTATCTACCATGCTTATGACGCAATGAGTTCACGCTGAACGCTGACACAGCACCTGTTCCCAACCAAAATAAGACTGCTTCAGATAACTAGCACATAATTTTGTAAAGCGTCTACAAAGGGCTTAAAGGAATGCCGAAGACAACTTGGAAATGTCTCTAAAACAAGTGGCTCAGCTTTTTACCAAAGCGAAAAGAAAAAAAGGGGGGCATGCAAAAGACGGAAGACACAGTGCACACACACACGGCGCTGTTTCTTTGTTTTGCTCTTTGTCTCTCTCTATCTTTTTTTCATTGTCTCTGAAATCATTATTTTCTTCACTGTTTCACTCTTTCTCTGCAGGAGAAAAAGAGACGGTGTAAACAAGGGGAAGTGAGAGTCAATCATGTCATTCAACAGCTGAGACTGTGGTGAAGAAAATGAAGAACTTTTAGTCGAAGGAACAGACACAGAAGGGAATGTCTCCAACTCAGCTAGCTGGTTTATTTCTCAAGCAACCTATATATATCCACACAGCCACTCTTACTTTCCTTCTACACAGATATCAGGTGAGGGAGGCTGTGTCGGTATACTTAGGATGCTTGAGAAATAAACCAGTTAGCTGAGTTTGAGACGTCCCCTTCTGTGTCTGTACCTTCAACAAAAAGTTCTTCATCTTCTGCACCACAGTCTCGGGTGTTAAATGACATGGTTAGCTACCACTAGCTCGCCTGCACATTCAGTCTTTTCACTGAGAATTAAAAGGTTAAAGCGTAAACGAAACGAGGACAACAAAAATAAAAAGACAACAGGACAGAAAAAAAAACTTTCAGCCTTTCCACTCTTGTGAAGGAAGACCAGCAGAGCTGTACTCGATACACTGTGTGCTTCTTCTTCGTCATCGTCTGTTTTTCGCGCTGTTTCCTACGATGAACTCCCACCAACGCGCCCAACTACCCATTCTTCTATTATAGCAGGAAAGGTTGGCACCATCTACGAGTGACGGCAGAAACCATACTGGTTGTGTGCTTGCCGCCGTCGCTTATAGATGGCGGTAGCTGTCCAGGTAGGTTTGTGTCGACATACCGGACACGATCCTGGGGAACCTAGCCCTTAACAGCTCCGCTGTAAAAAATAGCGCCTGTCCTGTTGTCTATGTGCCTTCATTGTCCTCATTTTGTTTGCACTTTTGACCTTTTAAATCAGTGTGGACCAGCTCGTCCAAACCCAAGTTTAATGGAAGGGAGAAACTGGGTGAACGAGAGCAAAACCTGCTACGTAACAATTCCATAGTGCTTGATGTTTTACGATAACTGCGGGAAGCCGGTGCAGAGGCCAGATTGGACGAAAGTGTTGCATCAGCATTCAGCTAGAAACCGTGTCCCTGAACATGAGTTCCACCTAAACACTGGTGCGGTACACTCGCTGATGCAGTACTCTCGTCCAATCTGTGCACCGTGCTAGCCTCCTGCTAGCCTCTGGAAGGGTATGTGAGGAAAGAAAGCCAGCGCTACGGCCTGAAAGTGTTAGTTTCACACTGCCTCTGTGAGAGGTACAAAAGACAGAGTAACAGAGAGGAAGTGAGAGAAAGATGGGACGAAAGATGGATGCAGAGAAAAGAGCGAGGGAAGGAGACAGAGTGAAAGAAAGACAGACTGATGAGAGAGTGAAAGACAGACTGACATGCATAGTGACGTACAGAGCGATGGAGCAAATGACCAAGAATAGAGACAGAATGATAAACAGTGAGAGACAGTGAGGTATTCAGAGAAAGTGAGAGAGCCACAGACTGTGGCACATTTAAAAGGGGAGGGGGGGAGAAGGTCTCCCCCCACCCTCCTTAAAAGCTCAAGGTAAAGTTCTTTTTATTAAAAAAAAATATTTTGCTTTGTTTTTTTAGGGAAAAAAATTCATTGTTTTGGTGGAATGGCAATTATTTCCGTCCGCAACGTCACATTCATGTGTGACATTAAATTCGTTTGCGACGCAACAAATTTGTTGTTGCATCGTGAACAGCAAATTTAGGGGTCAAGCTTGGGGGGGGGGGGGGGGGGGGCAATGCATTGTGTTGCTCCCCCCCCAAGCTTGACCCCTAAATCTGCCTCCGACTAGAGACGGGGACGAGGCTCACCTTGGAGTCGGCCGAGGAACTGGAAGAGGAGCCCCGGCCGGAGTCGAGGCTGGAGCTGGAGTGGCGTGACTCCACGCTGCCCCCGCTGGGGCTGTCCCTCCCGGGAGTGGTCACACCGCAGCCGGGGTCGTCCAGCGACCCCGCCACAATGTAGCAACCACGACCTGCAGACACGGGGGCCTCCTTGTTCAAGGTCAGGGAACTCCAGACAGGGCACGACAAACATTTCTCACTGTTCACTCAACCGTCATTAAAGGGATACCGCAACGAAATTCCAGCGCCCATGTTATCGTCTAAATGTCAAGCACGTTCTGGCCACACCATGAAGGCACCGATATTTTCGCTCGAAAAGACGCCGAAACGTTATTTAAAAGGGATGAACCGAATGTCATTGTGTCGCTCTGAACTTAAAAGCGGCGCAGCTCCGCAGAAAGGACGGTGGCGAGCTGCATGCGCATGTGATCCCTGTCGAACCGGACTCCTGCGGAGAGCGGCAACTAAAGTGGCCAGTTTGTGACGCGTTGACGATGTCAAGTGGCAGAGCTTGTAACCATGCCAGCTTCCAAGCAGCTTTGTCCGCGCTGGTTCAACTGACGTCGCGACTTCCGTGATGCGCCACACTCTCCAATGGCCGACCTTCGAGCGCTCGCTGGAGTCGGTCCTTTGGAACAAAAAAATATAGCCATTTGTTCAAAATACGAGCGTGCAATTGTCATTAGAGGATATAGTTGATCATGTTTAACTTATTTCTGAACGAGAGAGGTATATCTTAAGTTACAATTCAGTATCCCTTTAATACCGAGTAAAACAATAGTGAAAGATGGGCCTTTTTAGAAAAAAGGAAAGCAGTCTAGATGATGCAGCTGCTGGTTCTTCATCATCAGCTTCTTAAGTATAGTGGTCATTATCGCTCTTCAAATCACTACTACCGCAAGGCTTTCAGTTACCTACTGCATGATCACCAATTTCCTACCAACGTCTTTGCATGACACAGGGCATCCCACTTAATTTCAGTTGGGAAAGTGATTTGGTTTTGATGACAAAGTGGGCATCCGGGAGCTCTTTCCCTTACAAGGTCCTTCTGTTTTCTGCAATACTGACCTTTAACTTGTAAGAGTCAGGACAAATGACACTGCATCTGGCTTCTTCCATTTGACTTATTTGGTTTCGCTGGCATGTTGAGATTATGTTGGAAGCATGAAGACCAGATCGTCATGTCAGGTTCGCCGTGTTGGGAGCATCATATTGGGCGCATCGCATGTGAAGCATCACACTGGGGTCCCCATGTTAGGATTGTCATGTGGGAATAGTCATGTGGGAATCGTCCAGTGGAGATCGCCGTACTGAGCCCGTCATGCTGGGGTTAAGTTCAGCAGATCGGGCTCATTTTCCACAATTAATCCTGCGGGGTTTTCCCCTGTGGGGCTCGCCAAGGAGAATTCGGTTGATTCTATTCAACCCGTAGGATTCAGCTTAAATTATAAAGCCTCGTGTATTAAGCCTGGCCTGGGGGTTTCACCTACCGGTTCACATGCAAGAAAAAGTCTACCGTAATATCCCGAGAGATGCCCTACCCCCTCTTTTGGCGAGATTTGCTAATATCCAGAGAGATGCCCCACCCCTTAAAGGTACCCACCCTTACTTTTGCAGCGATTGGTTAATATACCGAAAGATGCTCCTTAAAGGTAACCCACCCCTACTTTTGCCATGATTGGCTAATATCCTGAGAGATGCCCCACACCTTAAAGGAGCCCTGCAAGGACTTTTTACTGTTTTTTAATTTGCACCGAACCTGAGCGCACTGAACGTAGTAACTTAGTGAAACTTTTCTTTTCGCGAAATTCGCTTTACTTTAAAAGTTATAGGCAATTTAGAATTACAAAAACAAGCAAAAAATAACCTCCTTCATGACGTCATAGGTCCTGGCTTGAGTGGCCGTGAACTAGAGCAGGAAGAGTGAGCTCATCGAGCGCTCACGGCCGCCGCACTCCGTGTCGACGGCGCCAGAGGGCGCCACTAAAGCATGTTCTGGATAGGCTGTATGCAGCGGGCAGCCAAAGCGGCTTTCATTGCGCTTGCTGCGCGATTAAGCACTAATTCGGCATGACACTTCATTGGCCACAAACGACAGCAAACACGGGGTAAAGATCAGTTCAGAATGGGAGCCACTTCGCGCAGCCATACCGCGGAACGGCCAAACCGCAAGACAAAGCCTCTCGCCGAAGGCCTTCGGAACGCTCAGAGCCGGTCGGATCCTCCTGTCCATACGACTGCAGCGCCACCGCGTACATCCGGGATTTTTCCGTGTCGGCGCCTTATCCCACTACTCCTTTCTAATATGCGCCGCCTTTGCCACCGCTTGGCGGCGGGTATGTCGACGGGTCATTTCTTGTTTCCGTACTTTATAAACTGCATTTCTTTCTTTTTTTCATCTATAATAGTAAACAAGAACGGCTTTTATAAATAATTGAAACGGTTCGCGCCACTTATATTTTGTATTTCGACCAAAAAGAAGTTTTTAGTGGCTCTGACCAGTAGTAAGCCCAGGACCAAAGACGTCACATTTTGCGTGCTTTCGGTACCGCGGGTCGCCCTCGTCGGTGGGGGAGGTTTCCGTGTCGTCCGGTTAAAATATGGCGCACTGATATTTAGCTACTGTTTCCGTGCCCGCTGGCTTGCCCGAACCCCAAGAGACGTGGAAACCGCATAAAAGGTAGACCCTTAAATATGATTGCAGGGCCCCTTTAAAGATAACCCATGCCTACTTTTGCCACAATTGGCAATTTTCTCAAAAACACCGAAAGATAGCCCACTTTTAGTAAACGCAGTGCCTGGGCCAACTGTGACAGTAGCAAGAGATTAGCGAACACTGCTGACTGGGAGAGAAGGTAACCTAAGCATCATCACCCCTCACTAATACCCACCCCTGCCTTGGCCAGTTGATGGCTGGCAGTAATAACTAAATAAATACAAGTAAATAAATAACTAGTTTAGCAGGTCACATGATTTAGAAATAGCACTTTTTTCACCTCTTGTTGATTGCACACTGAAAGTAAGTCCACTCCTTATTTTTGTCTGATTTTCTTTCAATTTAAGGAGGGCATTCGTTTGGGATAATATGGTACACAGATACAAAGTTAGTTTGGCACCAAGGCTAATGATAGTGACCCAGCAATGCCACTCACCAGTTGGGGGCAGTCCAGGAGGCAGAGGGGTGGTCGGCGTGCCAACCGGGGTACCGGGGTGGCTCTGCGGCCTTGTCAGTGGCGCCATCTGGAGAGATTGGAGGAACACCGACACTTCAGAACTTTGGAACAAGGCAGGCAATACGACGTAAGGGAAAGACACAAATTTCTTTACAAAAACCTTAAGGAGGTGTGAGAGAAACTAGTTCTACTGAAAAGTAACAAATATAGAACAAAAAAGACAAAATATTTAAAGCCCTCGTGTTTGAAAGGAACTGCAGCAAGGACCCACTGGAGTCCCACATGGTGTTCAACAAAGCAGAGGGTCCAACACAGATTGACCACTGCTTTCTTTCTACTAGGTTTAAATGGTTCCCCCCTCCCCCCCCCCCCCCCCCCAAAAAAAAAATCATAACAAGGACGTATTCCAGCCAGGACAAGCAAAGTAAATATGTTAGTAAACTAAGTTGCCAAGTTTTAGCCTGCTCTTTCTATTTTGGGTATTCCATGCATACAGAGCAGTTCATTAGTCTACCAATGAACTGCTCTGACCTATCATACCAGGAAATTATTGTTCCCACTATAAAAGGACATAACTATGCACATCCTCATAAAGCTTAGCACACAAAAAGATCCCTTTTCTATTTATGTCACAGCACAGAACACATCCAAACAATAAAGAGGCAGCCAAACCAAAAACAGAAATCACAAACGTGTCAGTGGTGCAGGTCATTGCCTTTTTCGTTTCCTCCGAGCATCCCATAAAACAAGGAACACAAGAATCTCAGACAAACCCCACTAACAGCCACAAAAACACGAGCGGGTAACAACAACACATGCCCACGACAAAGAGAGAAGCCGGGGAGACTCTTCGCAAACACCCACGACACACCCACAAAACCCGCCGGTCCCAGATGCCAGGTCTGCCCGCCCGCCCGCAAGCCAAGGCCAAAGCCGACCCAGAAACGCCGCACGCAAAGAGGGTCAGCTGGGCTATGGTGCCGCAAACGCATCCCTCGTGTCCCAGGTATCCGACAACATAACAAGCCGGTTCCCGTGACATCAACTGTAGCCACCTTAGGGACCACCCTTTATGTACTTCAACAGTGAACACATCAATCAAAGACATGTCCCAGGTGCCATAGCTGGACTTACTCCCAGTTTGAAACCGTTCTCGGCGCTGAAGCTCCGCCGCAGCAGCCTCAGCCCCTTGCGGAAGACACCGACCGTAGACTTCCTCCTGGAGATGCGTTCACCCTTGTGAGAGACGGAATCATCGTCGTGACGACGGACGCTAGGGTGACAGAGGACACCCTGGGAAGTTCCTCCGCAGAGATCGACCCAACTGTGGCTCCGACGATCCAGAGGAAGAAAGTATGGCGAGAAGGGGTTTAGGTCGTCTTCCCTTGGCCAGTCTGGGTATGAGAGACGATCCGCTGACATCTTTTCTTCCGGGCCGCCCGGTAACATCAGGGACAGCATTGGGGACGGTGTTTGTCAATGTTCAAGATGATGGCAGGTGACCGAAAAGTCTCCGTGATAGAGGTACCACTCAAGTCTGAAGCGTCAGTCTGAAGTGACTCAACTCTGATGTCTCAACTCTGATGTCTGAAGTCTCAAGCCTAAAGTCTGAAGTCAAGTCAGTTTGAGATAACTCGGATGCACCGTGTTCCCACTTGCATGGTATGCTTCAAAGCATAGCTTGGAAGGGATCTTGATGTTCACTTGTACAAACCAACATGATTAATGATTAAAACCATGCTCATGAATATTGCCAGGAGTCCTCGTGTGTTGATTATTTACCAACAGGCAGGATGTATAGACAATGAGATTAACTTACAGAATGCTATGGAAGTTCATGGATAGTTGCAGATGAACACAACTGAATACACATTGCTTCATGTAGAATGACCACTTGAACTTGAGGTATCTTTCTTTAGAACAAGAACTATAAAGTATTGTTTCTGGGGACCTCGAGCAAAAGTACCACAATAATTGCCACGCTGTGGCAATCGTGAGCAGCTAAACCCACTATCTAAAACAAAATGTAATTTTTTTTTTTTTAATTAATGGCTTAAACTTTTATGGATGAAGCTCACCGACGTGAGGGAAGACTGAACATCTCAGTGGTAGGTAACACTTGCGATGTCTGGTCAACTACTTCCCCGGAGCAGAGAGGTAAAAAAATTTTGACAAATGCGACGTCGGAAAGACACGGGCGATGTTCCGCGGCAGCGTAACTTGCTCACGCATCAGCCTAATGTTAAATCCAACACCAAAAAAAAAAAAAAAAAAATTTCACGATGTTGTAAAGCAGTAGCCGAAAACCCGACGTAGTTCGCGGAACCCGCGCAAACGAAACTCGACCAATGAACAGTAAGTATCACTCTAGATAACGGTCAAAGTCGGAAGCGAAACTATAGCGATATTGGGATTATAGCACACGACGTCAGACGCTCTCACGCAACCGAAACTTTCGTCCGACCAAGCAATTATCCGAGGTCACGAACGTAGCAAACGAAATTCCCGAAGAGGAACGGGAAGCAGACGACGTGCCGCAGTGCGGATGACCCTCAAAGCCGCAACCGTAGTTTCAATGGCGGCACTGACCTAGCAGACGAATCCACCAAGGCCCGACAGAAGCAGACGGCAAAGGACGCTCCCGCGCGATTTGAGCGCCAACTACAGCCGAAGCCAAAAACGGAACTTCGGCGCTGTCGCCGATGCCCCTCGCCGATGTCGTACATCAGCGTCAAGCCAGAGTTCGAGCCACAGTTGAAGTCGTGGCCGCAATAACCGTAATCTCCGCCGCTCCGTCGACCTCACAGCCGAAGCAGACGACAGACGCAGGACCCGAAGCACAAGACTCGTCCAATCAGCGTTGAGCCTGGGTAGGAACCACATTCAGAGCCAAAGTCGTAGCCTTCACCGCTGTAGCAGAGGTTGGAGCCACCGTTTGTAGCAGAAGTCAGACGTGCAACCAACAGCACAAGAAGCCGATGGGAGCATGGAAGTTCCCGAGCAAACAAGAAATATATCCAATCGGCGTCGAGCCGGGGTCCGAACCACAGTCAGGGTCACAGCCGTAACCGTTCTGACGCCACCGCTGTAGCAGACGACAGGCGCGGAACACGAAACACAAGAACAAGACTCGTCTATCCAGCGTCGAAGCAGAGTCTGAACCACAGTCTGAGCCACAACTGTCACCGCCGTGACATTGTCGCTGTAGCAGACGACACACGTGTAATCGGAAGTAGAAGCAGACCGGGGAGGGACACGGAAGTTCCGCTCAAACAAGAAACGTCCAATCAGCGTCGACCCAGAGTCCGAACCACAGCCGTGGCCTTTGTGACGTCACAGCCGTAGCAGACGACACGAGCACCCTCGCAAAAAATAACAGACGGCGCCAAAGAGAACTTTCCAACTGCTGAACTCTCGTCCAATCAACGTCGGGCTGGTGCCAGGACCGCGGTCAGAGTCCCCGATGCGTGAGTCCCTCCGACGCCCGAAGAAGCGCGGCAGATGACACTCTTGGCCGAGAACGCCCAAGACATTGAGGACGTCGACTACGCCCCGAACAGATGGCTGCTCCTCTGACCGCTCGCGACTACCGACAGCTGCCGCCGAGGTGTTTTTTTGCGCGCCTCTTTTCTTCTTTCTACGCGGAACTTTTTTTGGTTTGCCTCGTGTGTTGTGGCTGTTTACTTGTGCGTTCAACGAAGAGGCGGTATGGCGTGCCCACGTCATTCTCCCAACTTGTTTCGGCACGGCCCACGTCCTGCTGCCAGGCCGCCGGTTCCCAAATGCGGATCTCTCAGCGGACGGCGCCACACAAAGCCGGTGTGAATCGAACCGGACAAAGGAAGGTCGCCGACGCCAAGACGACAACAACTGTCCATGACGTTCTCAACCTCAAACGAAAAAAAAAAAAAAAAGAAAAACTGCGCGAACGAGTAATTGTTATGTTTAAACCCCGAAGAAACTTGAAGACGAATTAGAAGGGACCGAAGAAAGTGGACAGACAGCTTTTCAAACTCAGTCCTCTGCCCCTTTGCTTCTACTTCGTCTTCAGTCAATTTATCGCGTCGACAACTGATATGCAGTCTGGGGATTATCAAACTTGAGAATAGAAAACTCGCCATGCTAGTATCCATATAAAAAACAACCTACGAAAAAAAAAGTTGATTTTTTTTTGCAGAACATCACTAATTGCCCCTTTTACGTGGTGCATTTAAGGTGTTTGTAGGGATATTATAGATTAGCTTTATGTTATTTCATAAAGACGTAAACATCTGACACACCACAACATCGTTTCCTGCCCGGACAATCGAACCTCCATAGAACTACTTCGCACAGATATAAATATTGCTCAAAACTTGCTACTTTATTTTTTATTTTATTTTTTCACTTGAAGTGGCAACGAAAACTGAACAAAACAGTAGTCCTCTCGTTTTGCCAAACAGGCAAAACGGCCTTCCAAGAAAGGGAGCAACCATTAGTCGAATGTGCCTACTACTGCCTTGAGTAGGCAAAACAAAAAGAACAAAGTATACGCAATTTTTTTTTTTATTATATAGTGTTAGTATTGGTTATTTTAAGACGCGTTATTAACAGGGTGAATTCATCGACCGAACCAACAGCCAAGTACACACCGTGTTTGCTCTACTGAAAAGGGGGCACTAACAGATAAAGCAGTAAATCTTTTCCCGAGCAGGTGAGGACTGCTGCTTTACCTTCTTGGCCTAGCTCCTTCTACCTCCGTTCATCTCAAAACAAACAAACCAATAAAAAAAATTGCTTGGGGATAACTGTCTATTAACTTTCTAAACCAATTCACAAGCAGAGCGCGCGTGCACACCGGCACTCAAAGGGAGCGAGCGCACAGGCACACGGTTTTCGTAGAATATTTGTATACACGGTCCAGTGGCTATGGGAGGCGCTACCGCCCCATCACAGCCGTAGATACGGCTCCAATCAAAGACAGAGCTCATTATAATTACATCTGGCCAAAGACAGAGTGCCTCAACGTTGTCGGCTCCACCACACAACGGAGCCAGCGCTAACGCCCAGGCACACCCCTTTCGTCTTCCGCCATTGTAAGGCGGAAAGGCGGGCAACGGGCCCCCGGACACACCGCAGCTGTTCTGACCGGTCCGGTATGTACAGCAAATGCAGGCCGGCCGTCACACCGGCCACTAAATCGTCAAAAAAAAAAAAAAAAAACAGTTTCTATTTATTTGCAAAGCGAAATTTTACTTGAGCCAATTAAACAAACATTGCTGCGTCGAGAAACGCAGCGTTCACGAGGTTCAACGAGGCACGAGGCACGAGGTTCAACATTCTCAAGAGAAGCCCCCGTCGTTCTTATCCTGCAGGTTATGGTACCGTACATTCGAACGGACAAAATGCCCCGTGGCAGCGATCGAATCTAGAGATGACTTGCTATAACAACATCCTCGCTGTTGAGAGGACCACTTCTTACTTCTCCCTTCCTAGTTCAAGAGAAAAATGTACTAAACCGAAAAATAAACACAATGTACGACACGCCAATTCGTGAGTTTTCGCTTCAAACCACCCGCCGTCTCGATTCGCACATTTTCACAGTCGACAGCATCGAGAGCTTTAATGTTTTCCTAAGCGCTTCCTTCTAAAAATAATCCCCCAACATACGCAGCTAAACACTGACCTAAAAAAAAAAAAAGAAAAAAATTGAAGAAAACCATACCCAGATTTAGATTCATTCCTCGAGCAAGCAAACAGAAGGAACACCTTCCCAGTTTACGTAAAACTTTAACGTCCTTCCAAGCGTTCCAGTCCTAAAATAGGGAGTTTTCGTAGACCGCGCTGCCCCTTCCGCTAAGCGTTCCGCAACGAAGAAGTGGCAACTGCGCCTGCGCGCCGATAGCCTTGACTGTGGAGTTCCCGCTATCGTAGCGGGTTGCGGAGGGCCTTGCGGGACGGCGAAAACGATCTACGAAAACTCCCTAATAACACGCGCGCGACGCAGACGCGAAAACAATGAATGCAAATAAAAGAACTCTCCTCTAACAAAAACAAAACGGCAAGAAACAAAAACAGATAATCCACGCGGAAAAGAAAACCTCGAGAGAGGTGATGAAACGAGGAACACACTTTACCTGGGATTCCGTGAAAGGCTCACCCGGACAAAAGGTTGTCGGCTCGGTGGAGTCTGCAAAGAGACAAGCAGACGGCATAAAGGCTTAGCGTGGTTTAGCAGACGGATTTCCCGCACACACACACCCCAAAACCAGAAGAGGAAAAAGGATTGGAACGGAAAGCGGCAATATATCACATGCCGGAGACACCGACAGAGCTTCTGCCCTGTGTTCCCCGTAACTCAATCTTTCGACAGAGTTATTATTTAGCGCCCGCGCAGAGACAGCTACGTTTGCACCCGTTTTAACGCGTCTCTTATATTTGTTTTTAAACTGTTTTTACCGCTTGGTTTGTTTCTTTTTTTCTTCGCTCTCTTTTTTCACCCGACAGCGTTCCGTTTCGCAGACGAAACACCTTTTGCATGGTCGGTTGCAGACGAAACTCGTAACTTCTGCTAACAAAAAAACGAAAATAAATATCAGCAGACGGCATAGGAACACCCTGGGGCCTTTCAACTCTCTGGTACGCACGGCTTTTTCGGCGAATGTAAACAGTTTCTCGAGGCAGATAAATCGAACCGGCAAAAACAAGTGTCGTCGGCTGCTCGGAAACCCAGCAGACGACAGACCGACCGGCCGCGCGGCGGGCCGTGTTGATCCGTGGCGCCATCTGGAAACGATGTTTCGAACCATCCCCGCGACTTCCAGGAAGCGATGGCGCGAACCTGCTGAAGGTCGAGTTCGGCCAGGTTCGACGCTTTCGAACATTTATCGCGAAGGTCCATTGAAGTTCGACGGAAGTTGGACAGTTATGCGCATGCGTGGAAACTAAAAACCAGCTGACGTCGCCTGACGGAACAGGGATACAATATTTATCGGGTACAGTAAACGACTTAATTTCCGCGAGCACCCAATTTTCGCAAATTTCGCGACTTCAAATATCTCGCGAATAAATTCACCTCCGAAACTTCCTGCCCGCACAATAATCCCGAAACGTACCCTTTGCCAAATTAGCAGAATAACGAGCTCGTGAAGATAAAGTCGTCACGGTATATTATGTTAACAAATTTAATAACAGTCTGAAAGCATAAAATGCTTTCTAATCAAATTCTTATGCCAGAAACGTCTCCGTCCGTCCGCCCGTCTGTGCATTTTCCCTCTAAATTTAGCGGGGAAATAGTCGTCCCGTGATACCAAGACGTCATATAATGTCAGGTCACGTGACACCGGTGTCAAGTGGTGCACGTAATACCGTGACGTCAGTGACGTAATGTAACCAAACGTCAATTTTCCTGCTAATATTAGTGGGACAATTATGGGTTCCTGTCCTCCCCGAAACTCGTTGTAAGCAAATTTAAACGATCCCTATTTAAATACTGTATCGCACGCATTATAGGACTCTGGAGAGAAAGCTAACTGGTAATATTCTGTTTGGTGTCGTATTGTGTAAGCATCGGTAATCTCACTCACTCACTCACTGTCACACACAAACAAACACACACACACACACACGCACACACACGCGCACGCACGCACGCACGCACGCACGCACACACACACAAAAAAAAAAAAAAAACACTACGGTATGTTTAATTTTTATTCCGAGACGCCATTCGTCCAAATTGATAGGAGCGAAAACGAAACTAAACAAACTTCGGAACGAAGATTACACCCGTTTCGAAAAGCTTGCCGCTCGGTTGGAAGCTGCAGAAACTCCTGCATAATGGCGAACGCAAAACAAACAAAAACCGCAATATCACGCCGCACTTCCCGCGTTTGCTCTAAGCGCAGACCACGAATAATGCTCAAAACTTTTTTTTGTTCTATTTTTATGTGACAACGAGTATAATAACTTAAATTATAAAGTCACAATAAATTTCTGCAAAGTTACTGAAGTCTGAAATTTGGTCCAAGAGCCAGAGGCAAAACTGAAAATGTGACGTCAAACGTTGTAACATGTGAGGTGAGGTAGGTATTATGTGAGGTGAGGTGAAGTGTGTGTGTGTGTGTGTGTTGGGGGGGGGGGGGGCAGTACAGCTTGCTTGCGACGGGTCACAGGGAGTTTAATGCCGTGAAATGAATGCCAAAGAAAGCTCGCGGCAGCAAAAAAAAAAAAAAAAAAAAGCATTCGGCTTTGCAAAGCATTACATTGCATGCTTTGTATAGAACTTTGTATACAAAGCATTGCATCCTTTGTATAGAGCTCGAAAAACCTTCAAAATAACTCAGCATGTGACTGTTGTTCAGTTACGAAATATAGGGAATTAAAGCACCGTGTTAGATCGTCAGGAGGAAAGAGCAAGTCATGTTCCCTAGATAGCAGACAACGTTACTGGAGTGACATATTTCGGTGGCCCCGCTTCGCGTCGCCACCTAAATACCGAACCGTAGAAAACGAACACGCCGTCGGCTAATTGCAGGCGCAAAAGAAAGCAAAGAATCATCCCTATATATATGTATATATGACACAGGCAAACCGGTTATGGCAATCATGGCAATCCCCAAACAAAAATCACGACACCCAAAGCTCAAGCATTAATCAAAACTTTAAGCAACTTTTTTTTAGAGAGAGAGGGGGGAGAGAGTGGGAGAGAGAGAGAGCCAAAAAGGATAATCAGGTTGACTTATCCTCAATGAATAATTTACTTCCCAGTAGACTGCCAACACTGCTTCGCCGAACCTTCGAACTTTTTGAGAAAGTTTGACAAAGACACTATTGTTCGAATTCTACGCAAACATTTGAAATCTAGGAAAACAAATTACTAATGTATATTGTTTATATTAGTGTATTGTTAATTACTACCGACGTTTGCGATTTATAAAAGTAAAAATACATATTTTGATGATTTATTGAGTTTGCCACACTCCTAAGCCAGGTGGCGTCAGCTCGCTCTCAAATTCCGCGCATGCGCACAGAAGTCGGACTTGTTTCGAACGTTTGTCGAACTTCGCGTTAGAAGTTCCAAAAAAATCGAAACCTCGTCGAACCCGAACTTAATTGTGCAATTATATCCCTAACATTCCTATTTATATGTTGCCAGACTGCAGGTAAATTTCGTCGATTTTGGTGGAATTCCTACAGAGTGGCAACCAACACACAAAGGAAATCATTGTTACCTTTATTTACAATGGAGATGCGCCTGCTGTACAACAGCGCGCACGATTTCACGGACCAGATCAGCCGAACCGTTCAGCCTTTTTGAGAACCGTTTCCGCACCCCCAAAATCGACTCACTCCAACTCCGCGATACCTCCGTCCGTTACGTCCGTTACCTCTCACGCGGCGTCGTCCCACACTCGAGCACGACATGGGAGAGCCATTGAGCGGGAAGCCCTTTCAGCCGACCATTTGGGAGGGTACCCCAAGATATATTTCCGTATCGCAGCGAACCCAGTTAAATAAACGCCAAACAAAACTAAACAGAAACAAACCCAACAAAGCCTCCCAATGGCGTCTTAGACGTTTCCGGTATCATCCGTTTGACGGCCAAGAGGTTATCCAAATCCCAAGCGTGGATCGCGTTCTTTTTTCTCTCCCTCTTTATTCTTTTTTTTTCAAAATGGCGCTTGTAAACCGTTTTATTCGCGTAAGCCGAATTTATTTCCATGCCCTTGGTTTGTTTTTTTGGTTTCGGTTTATTTACTCGGGTTCACGTAGGGGGAAATGAGTTCGAACAACAACAACAAAAAAAGTGATACGAAACTGTCGGAGGACAAAGAGGCGACGCCCGGCCACTTCCGGTCGCCGGTCCAGTCAAAGCCAGCTGACCTCGCAGGCGTCGCTACCTCCGCGTCTCCTCCCACCTTCTAAACATGGCGCCCGTTTTCCGAGTGTAGCAGACGATGAGTTTTAAAAGAACCGGTCGCGTCGTCGTCCGCTCGCTATTTCTCGAACTCCCGTGTAGTTTTAACCTTTTTTCTTTTCTTTTTCTTTTTATTTGTAGGAGGCGTCGCGGAAGTGAGGTCCGAGCGAGAAATTTACACTTACGCAACGCCGTTCTTTATTTACTCGAGAACGCGCCCGGTCGGTTGGGTCCGCCTAGGTGGGAATAAAAGTTAATTGGGCCGCTTGGGGCGCTACGTATATACCCACTCTTCTTGTTGGCTCGTTTGAGTTCACGAAGATTTGTCGAAGTCAAATTTGTTGCGTGTGGGTCTGGACATGGCAGGAAGTTGGCCTGCGTCCCGAAACGGCGTCTGAGGTCGGCGCTGCAGAAGCCGGATTTGGTCAAAACAGTAAGACTGCTAAGGTTAAAGCGTGAGTCCAAATGACGTCAAAATAAACGTGCCAAAAGAGAAAAAAAAAAAATGTTGGGCAGCGTTGGGTCGAAAGAGTAAAGCAATATTGCCTCAAAGGAACGCGAAGCCCACAGGTCGCTGTCGGGATCGTTTCATGCACGAAATACTACCCGAGTTTTGTTGACTAAATTTATTATAGCAAATAACAAGGAAAAAATTTTTTTGTTTAGTTTTAGCGTTTTAAGAAAATTTTAATCTATAAATAGACCAGGAAAGAAATCCAGAACATAAACAATATTTACAATGTCTCCTAAATTGTGCTCCCCTTACATAGAGTCTAATAATAATAATACAAGAAGAAATATTGTGTTTTGCCTAGAGTTTAAAGGGAAAAAAGAAGACCCTACTATCAAGAACCCTACTATACTCCGTTTCATCCTGTGATGAGCCGGAGCGGATGTTACTAGAGCCATATCCCAGCCAATACAGCACTGGGAATGCACGCTGTGCCGTACGGAACGGCGTTCCTTTTATAAGAGACGAGGGAACGCCCGGCGTTTCATTCTGCATAGGTGGAACAGAAAAGCAAACTCCTTACAATTTTCTTTTTTTTTTTTTTTTTTGCAATTTTATTTGAATATAGTAGGCATTCGGGTTTTGTATTACCGACTATTTTAATCTCAAATTTCAAAGCATGGAAGGAGCGGGAGATGGTCAAAGGCAAGGAACTGGATGAATCGGCATCGTGGCGGCAGGACAAGTAGTAGTAGTTCGACCGGCTCGCTTTATTGTTTTGTCTACGGAACGGATTATGCAGCCGAATACCTCGTCAAAA